TGCTGCAGATCCAGAGTCTACAGGGCAATAAGTGCATTTGGGATTCTTTCCTCCTCCACTGTACACCTGCAGGCCCATGCTTGTGTTTAACCCTGGGCACAAAATGGCACCTTCAGTCACTGTAGAGAATTCCTCAGTCCAAACTCCTCCAACTGCCCCCCCCTCAACCTCACATCCCACTGCAGGAGCTGTTCCAAGGATGAAACAGTGGGGCAGTTTACAGATAGGACTCTAGAGTGGGACCATCATTGTCCATGTTATTGAGAATGAAAGTTAATGCCTTGATTATGTAAGCACACTGCCCTGTTGCACAAGCCAGAAGCTAGTGAAGTGTCCTCTCTTCAACACATGCCTTGTCAAAGGGCCTAACTTCTCAATGTGAGGGAAATACGTCCAGCTATTCCACCCTCCCATGTGCCTATTTCTGACAGAGCACTGTGTGGATGTGCTTAACAGAGGCCATGTTCTCCTAGGGCTCCTGGAGGATTTATGGTTGACTCAGCACAGTACACTCTAACACTGGGCTGATCTTCATGGCACTAAGCTCTTAATTACTACTCAGATGTATATATCAACAAATGATAAATCCCCTTAATTCAACTGAGCAACAAGCAGAAAAGACTGTAGTCACACTGCTATTTTAGTATAGTGAAAAAAATTCAAAATTACAAGCAATTTATTCATATCCATGTAAAATATACCACAGGACAAACAAAGTCCCAGCCCAATCCTACAATACTGGCACTAAAGTGCATAATGACATCCTGTCATTCCAAAGTGGTTTGCTGCATTTTAGTCTGATCATCGAGTTGTTTACTGGACAAAAAGCTACAATGAACAGGAGTGGGAACTCCAGACCTAACAGAAAGGTAGCTTTTCTATTTATTTTTTACAGGCAAATATAAATTGTGATTGAAAACAAGCAGCTCAGTTTCTACCTAAAAATTATATGCTCATTTTCTTGCTTTGAGACTACTCAGTCTTTTCCCAAATAAACTCCAATTTCTCCCTGTCAAAGCTTACTTTAGTTAAGACTACAGATGAGGACTTGAAGGTGGCAGTGCTCTACATTGTATAAAAGTTACATGGTGTGTCAGTGTGTGATAGTAGTAATAGGTCTCATGCATTTGCAACCACTAGTACAACACATCAGCATTTCTCAGATTTCACAGCTATAAGAAGCCCTATTCATTTACAGGAACAGTCTAAAGAGCTCTACTACAATGGTTTTAAAACATTGGATAGAACTGGCTGTAGAGAATGTGATGGCCACTATGTCCCACTAATGGGCCCCTTTTATTTCAATATGAATGCTATCCAGAAAGGACAAAGGTGTGAAAACCAATCATTGGGTGGTGATGAATAATACTGTTTTGTCTTTATGTTGATCCCCTTTTAAAAAAGAGAGAATTTAAATATATAAACCTATGAAATATATAGATAAATATATAGAGATAGCTATGTTAATATGTAGTTTGATTAGAATTGGGTTAAACAAAAAAAATCTAAAGGCACCACAATATATCAGCATCATTGAATAAAATACTCACTATCATTTTCATTCATGTAGTTCTGAAACCAATCAGTAAGAAAGTCATATAGAGTAGGGAATAAGTCTCATTATTTTAACCTCGGGACTAGGAAACTAAGGCTCAGATTCACTTAATGATGTGCCACATTCAAACAATCCCAGGTAAAGAATTCAGCAGTTCTGAGTCCCAGTTTTTTACCTAGTTAAGAGTCAGAAAGGCTTGGAAGCAAGATAAGAACACTTCAGAAAAACAGTGGATTTTCGTTTGGGCCTATACTCAGAGGTTATAATGGGCAAAGCACTGACTCTCCTCTTTGCCGATGGTCCTAATCAGTCATATTAGCATTAAACAGATTAGTTGCTCTAAAGTCACCGCAGTTAAAATAACTCTGAATTCTACTTGCATATTGGAGAACAGAGTTTGCATGGGTACAAATGAATAGTGCCTTGTTCTGTTTCTTGTTTAATTAATTCAAGTGTATTTAAAGCAAGCAGTAATTCATCAGGCTAAAAAATCCTGAAATATACCATATCACAGATGCAGCAAATTCACCTACATGCAAGGAAAGCCTCATTTCTCACTTCCACTGGTGTTACATTTACAAGGCTTTAACTATGGTTGAGCTAATCCTTAACTCATTTTAATGTGATAGGAAAAACAAACTTCAAATCTTCTACATAAGGCAGCTTTAAATTTGCTGCAATTTTTTCCCCCAAAATTATTTTACTCTGTTTTCAAATCAACCTTGGCTACAGATATAACATAGTGACAGACTTCCTTCTGGGCTGAGATGAGGAACAGTTAATTTTCCATGATAATATGGACTTCAAGAAGCCTTTGATAGGTAAATGAGGATATAAGACTAGATAGAGAAAAGTTCATGAAACCAAGCTAATGTAGCACTCCAAGACATGGAGAACATGCTGCTCCAGAAGAAACACCTTCCTACAACCTGGAGAAATATTTTCCTTCTTTCAACAGCTGAATAGAGAAGAAGTAGCTCCTCAATTCTGGGACTTGTTGTCCTTTAGTTGCTGTCCTGCAACTAAGGTGCTGTTGGTCCATTTAGGAGAAGTCTCAGTCATGGCAGGGGGGTAAAGCACCAAGACTGCTGATATTTTCAAATCTCTTAGCAGCAGCAACCACACAGCAGCTTTTCTGCAAAATACATAAAACAAGAATCCAGTTAATTCAGCAGTGTATTTTTTTATTTGGTTAAGTGTTCTAGAACAACCACATCGTGGTTTCTTTGTGCATAAAGAAAAGTAAGCAGCACTGAAGCTTCTTGCTTACAAAGGGTTCTTGCAGCCACTTTTTTGTGAAATCTTTTATATAACATTATAAAGACAAGACCCTTTTGTTAAGTGGAGAATTGATCCTGGAGGTCTCTCTTGAAATGCAGCTACTCTGCTTTTTTGCCTCTCTTGTCATACAGATCACAACATGAAAAGGCATGCTGCAAACCTCTCCATTTATTTGTGTTACCACTGCAAGCATATATAATGCCAGGTCTAAATCAACTGGCACTTGAGTACATTATTTTGGGTTAAATGTGGTAACTATACAACTTGCCTGACAAAAATAGCTAAAGGGATTCTTTAAAAATATGCTATGACTATTCTTTAAAAACTGCTATGATTTTAGATCCACTCATTAAGTAAGCTCAAATAAACTCCAAAAAGAAAAACACACACAGAGGAAATAACACCGCTAAAGCCAAAACCAGATTTTCCTGCAAGTTAGATCATGGGTAGGTTACTATGTTACAAAGCTATTAAAAGTTTATTTGAAAATAATTTTGACCGCTTTTGGACTGTCAATTTATCTCAGAGTTGACTTTGGTTGTAATAGAAAATTGTGCAATACAGTGCTTCCTGCATTAGAGAAGGAGAATTTTCGCCATTTTATTGCTGTGCTTGTTGACACAAGGTAGTGTCTTGAAATGGGAAATACATATAAAAACACTAGTCTTACAACAGGTCAGGGAAACTTGTTTAGAAAACTACTATGTAGAAGCACACAAGTGAGCGGACCAAACCTTCATGCAATCTGTGTCAGCACCAGTGAAGTGAGAACAAATACTGAGAATCACAAAGAGATATTAATTCCTACTGGTTTTCCACTACAGAAGTTGATGCTCAGATACTACCATATCAGGAAGTTATATGACTTCAGAGAGCAAGTAGGATATAATCATGACACCTTAGTCCTTACTGGCCTCCACTGTATGATGGAAAAGCAGCTTCAAGTCCCTGAGATTTAACGATCATTAACTTCTCTTTTACTACACTGCACTGTATAAAATCTGTTCTAATCTTACTTAGTCAAAACAGAAAAAAATTTCCAGCCTCTCACAATACACTCTTTTTTACATGTTTCTGGACAAAACTTGTTGCAAAAAAACCCAACACCTCACTTGCCTACCAAGCAGATGATAGATAATGGCACCATCAAAAACTTGCTTGTGGTGAAAGGTAGAATACTTTTATTTTGGCATCCTGTTGTTAATCATGACGCACTACTAAAAGGAAGTGGTTTTACAGTGTGTGTGTGTGTTCTCAGTCTAATTCACATCTTGACCCTCCACTACGTTTTGCCCAGAGATGGCCTCCAGAACCTCTGAGTGGTTCCCATGGTCCTTCAACAGAGGCACCAACTTCTGTGGTGGTTGGTAAAAGTGGCTGTGGGAATTGGTGTTTTGGTTTATGGAGATACCGCACCACCTGAGGTAGCCTGATTTTAAAATGGCTGAGTGAATACGCTTTGGTCAAAAACCAGAGACAGAACATGAGAGCAGACTTGAGACGCCCTGATCCCCGGGGGGAGGCAACCAAGCCAGTCTGAGAGCCACTAATGAAGTGTTTGTTAATGAAAGGGCAAAGACAAGGAGCCAGGAAAAAAGGACAGAGAGAGAGATGCTCTGTCAAAATTGTTTGGGTTGCTAAAAGAGAAGATAAGTGCCCTGTCAGAAGTGGGTCCTCAGAAGTGTGGAGCAGCCTCTTTTAGGGGACACCTTGCTTTGAATTTATTACAGTTAGTGGAGCTGCCCTGAGGGTCTGGCCCGTGCCTCTGCTAAAAAGTTATTACTTTTCATATTTCTACCCTTTTTAAACTATACTTCTAACCACAGCATGAAAACCTGAAAGCTTTCAACACTGAAAAATTATTGGGTGAAATCCTGCCCCATGAGAGCCAGCGGGAGCATAACCATTCCTTCTAAAATGGTCAGGGTTTGCAGCACATATTGCTTCATGCACATTAATTTTTTTGCACATTACTGTTACTTGGTATAAGTGATAGGGCCAGTTTACATTTTGAATAATTTCCAGACAGAAGCAGGGATGGTGGTGGTGAATACAGTTTCGACCCTGTACTTTGGACTATTCAAGGTTGTTGGCTGCCCACTGATCCCTTCTGCAGGGGCTACAGCACTTACATCTGAAGAAACACTTGGGACCTGAAACAAACCTTCTGTTTGGCAGCTCTTTCAGAAAGGTTATTGAGCCAGGGGTGCTTGAGATGCACAGTGACCTTTAGCCTTTTTCTAAGGGAAAAGAAAAACGACAACAAAAAAAAAGAAAGATACCATTATTAGAGCATTAATTGAAGATCAGTCACATCTTACCTCTAGTTAAGGTAATGGCAGAAAAACACTGCAACATCAGATGTTTGGTGAAGCTATCTTGCAAAGCACAAGAAACAAGAATAAAAAATACTAGGGGAGAAGATACAAAGGACAACATGAGTTGTAAGGTTTGTATTAGGGTAGGGTTTCCCTGAGAAAAAAATTGGTGATGGGAAGCAACACAGCCCAGCTTGTGTTCTTGCAGCATTTGGAAAAGACTGTCTGTTCCCCATATTGCAGAAATCAGAGCTTCTCTGGAGCCCAACTAAAGGAGACAAATTGTATGCTATGGGTTTCATAGGATATCTGAGGAGGATATCTCTGAAGAGATATTATCTGTGACAAACTCTCCTATTTTTACTGTGCACACACACTTATAAATCTTCTAGTAATCTCATAGGCATTACTGTTTTGGGAGATTATAAAGAAAACAAAATTTCAATGACAATTAGAATATTCTTATGTTATTATATTCTGTTTTATAGTAATTCTGGTTATCCTTACTCTGTATAACAGGAACATGTTGCAAGGACAGAGCTGTCAAGGCACTATTCAGTCCATCCTGCCCACAATCCACACCACCTCATCAGCAGAGCTACCACTGCCTGATTATCATCATAATCTTTGCTCTTACTTTAATAACATTATTTTGCAAATTAGCAATATGATCTATTGATTCTTAATGATAGCTGTATATCAAAAGGCACCTTGACATATACATCCTCAGCAACACAGCAGTCATTTTATTTAACATCGATGTGCTTTGCCTGCAAAGGAGGAAGTGAATATTGCACTTCAAATGCTGTAAAAATTCTGAAACCTGATTAAAATTATCCCCTTGCAAACCACTGAACCACAGAGTGGACTCAGAAACAGCAGACAGCAAGGTCACCAACAGCATAAATCTCCAGAAAAATTACTGACTACCTAACATGGGAATAACCAAAGTTATTTAAAATCTTGTTGATCCTCCAACTCAAGCCAACTGAATTGTTCGCTTGAACAAACAACTTATTTTTTTGTGCTGCCCACGAAGCTGGCTACATCTGAAGGGCAAGAAGGCTCTTAAGTACTAAGAGATGCACAAGGTGAAACTCCAAGCTCTGTTGGGAAAGGTATCCCTTGGGAAGAGATAGGATGAAATCAGACTCATGTGGGACTTCAGGAGAGCCTGAAAGGATCTTCAAAGCAGGAATAAGAATCATCCCCAGCTGGAAAATCCTTTTCATATGGTAATTCAGTGTCCATTTTGTAAATACTCTTATTTTGCTAAGAAATAGATCCACTCAGCAACACACAGCTTTGCATGATCTTATATTTCTTCCCAGATGTGCAAGAACTGATGAGCAAGTGTGAGCATGCAAATTGGAACAGCTAAAAAAAAAGCAAGGGAGCACATGTACCTCACAATGGCAAGAAATGAATCAGCAACAAAGACTCAGAGGAAGTTAAGGAAAATGTCAAAGCAAATAGTGATGTGGCAACACAAGAGGGCAACAGCAGATGCACAAGGATATCTAAATTTAGGGACCTGGAGTCTGTAGTGGAGCTGGTGGTCTGTTAACCATGGGTGTTTTAAGGCAGCAGTTGCACTTAATCTCCAGCTAAAGGAAAAACAGAATGCTATTAAGAGTTTTCCCCAGAATCTTACAGTTCAGCAGTTATCCGCTACAGGTCATGTGTTCTGCCATCATGCAATGCTGTCATTTCAGAACACTATGCCAGATGGCAGCTAATCCGTGAATTAAGTTTTGTTTCACAGAAAAAAATATACTCAGGTAACTTCAGAGCATTTTATGGATACAATGAACAGCACCAATGAAGTGGCATTATAATATTCTACATGAACATAAAAAACTTAAGTCATATTAGTTCTGCAATGGAGCAGCACAAATGACACAGCTGTGTCATGATGGCATGGAACACGCGTTTCAAAGTTATAGGGATTATATACCATTTTTCCTTGATGAGAAGCTTTGAGATGAAATCTTTGGCCTCATCAGAAACACTTCGAAATTCCTCTTCTTCAAAATCCCAGTTACAGGCCAGAATATTGTTGAGGGTCTCGTTGTCATCATCACCCAAAAAAGGAGACAATCCACTGAGGCTGAAATTAAAAGAAATACGTTCAGTTTTCCTGTCTTTTCCCTTCCTGTACATGACCTCCAGTGTGATACCTATGATTGTTCTGTCCCTACTGGCCTGTGTTGCAAAATGCTATTGTCTAAGAAGGTCCCCAGATCATTCCCATTTTTCATCTATTTACATGTTTAAATAATTACCCTTCTTCTCTAATAAACCAGTCATTACTGTCTTTCATGGTAGGTCATATTTTCCAGACCTCTGACCACTCTTGCACTACCCACCGGGAATTTACCAAGCAGTTTACATTATTCTGGAAGTGTGATGCTCAAACACTCATGAGGGATATGCAGTGAAACAAAGAAGAAAAGCTCATGGCAATTGGAAAAGAGGAGAGATTGCTCAATATGGAATTTGGAAAGAAGTCTACATTTCCTATCTTGAGTTCAGATTTTTTCAATCTGCCAGTATAGCAGCAAACTTGAGTGACTTACACAGTTCAACCTAGAAACAGCTTACAAAGCAGATACTGAATCCTACTTACAGCATATAAGCAATGACTCCTAAACTCCACATGTCTGTAGGAAAAGAGACAAACTCATAATTCACAACTTCAGGAGCAAGAAATTCTGGAGTCCCAAAGTTAACTCGAAGCTTTTCTCTGGGTTTGTATCTAGGAAATGGGAACATCAATTGCAGGTCTTATTAAAGGAATTCTGGAAGGAAATTCAGTAGGAAAACAAGGACAGACAACGGTACAAAGTAAAAAGAAGTATACCCATATATCGAATGAAAACAGTTTGCAAGCTTTATATCATACCAGGGCAAAATGCAACTGCTATAAAAAGGAAGAAATTCATATTTCAAGGACTTCTCAGAGCAGCTTTTACCATCCTTTTGGGACTTCTCCATATCATAGGCATGAAATTTTTAACCAGTAAATCCTTCACTGAGGTTATGGCACCTAATTAAACTAGAAAGTGATATAGCATGGGATATATTGTAACAGCCCTTGATGGTACGTTACACTCTCTTTTGAAGAATCTCTTAATATTGCAGACAAGAGACTAGACAAGACATACTACTGGTTTTGTCCATTTTAGCTGTTCCAAGATACTTTTATGCCTGCTTAGTCAGAATCAACCCTCTTTCAACCATATACCTGAAAAAGGCTTCAGAACAAATTTTTTCCACTCAGCTCCAAACATTCCATATTAAAAGATATCCCTTGTTAAAAGAAAAAATTAATTTGTCCTAACAACAGTAGAAGGCCATTATTAATGAAATACACAACTGTAGAGATGCAATATTTTTCCATTGTTTCCTAATCCATTCAAGATTAGTGAAAACACATGCATGTACCTTCTTGCCAATCCAAAATCAATAATTTTTATTTGATTTGCCTCTCGGTTCACACACAGGATATTCTCAGGCTGCCAAGAGAAACAAAAGAAAAAAATGCACTTTAATGACTATGAAAAACTGGGCTTTTAGCAAACTGTAGGCAGAAAAACACTAAAAGCAGAGTAAATATCTTCTAAGCACCTTTTGCTTTCCTCCTTGTTCAGATTTCTCTGCATGGGTAGCCCTCTTGCTGTCACGCAGCCATTGGAGCTGTGCATTCTGTGCTTTGCAACTGCTTTTTCCTCTCCATGGCTTTTCAACTTGACATAAGGCAGCAGTTCAGATAAAGAACACATTAGGGTGAGGGGGACAGGGAAAGCAGACTTCCAAAGAGGGGTTTCAGAATGCTGTCACTGCTGATACTGATTTTAAAAAAATAGAATTTGTTGGGCTCTGAAATTTATCTTACAGCTTTACATTTCTGAGTTCACAGATGTTCTGTCAGATTGAACATTAATATATTAAGCTAGTCACATCAACTTTATGCTTTTCTCAGACATTTTAGCAAAAGATAGGATTCACAGGTTAAATCCCTCTGGATTTTTATAGGGCCAAATGCTACTCTTCACTTTCCTGGCAGGAATCCTTTAACTTCCAAGAATTACTGCAAATTCATACAGAAGGGACTGAGAACAGGATTTGGCCAATTGTCTTTGAAACGTAAATACCTAAAATACAGTCTCATATTCATTGCCAGCACTTTTATAGCTACTCTGTCTTATTGCTCTGTGAGTCCTCTCTGAAACAAAACAGCCCTTAACACTTAAAACATTAGTTAACCTTTGTCACCATTACTAATTCATTTTACATTAGGACTTTTAAACACCATATGTCCATAGTTTCTGAAGTCCTGAATGATTATGGTCAAGATTATTTTCTTTCCATTTCAAGCTTGCTTTCCCAAACTCATTTGTTACTGACAGCAATCTATGAACAAGCAAAACAGAAGGGAGAAGCTGTAGCTGGCGAGCACATGAAAAAAGGTCTCTGGGATTAATTTCTTGGACTGTATATGTATCTTTTTGTCAGCAGTTTGACCTCATATTAAAACTGTGCCATCTCCAAGATCATAATTAATGTGTCCCAAAGAACCGTGTGAACTTCTGTTTGACAGGTTTCTAGGTAACTGGATGTTTATAAAGAGAAAAGTGAGTCTGGTCACTGATCAGCTACTGAAGCAGGTCCCAACAAGCATCTGCTCATTTGCTTAACCACTGCAACAATATATATGCTAACAACATTAAGAATGTACTATATTAACTCAGTCATTACAAGCCAAGAACAGCAGCCATAATAAAAATCTCACCAAAGAGAAAATCATCTTGTGCACTTTTTGTTTCTTTTTGCTTTGTTGCAAAGCTCAGGGATCACTAGGAAGTTTATAGACAGTCATAAAACTAAAGCCATCATCCCATTTTATTCCTGCACTAAATAGAGGTAAGAAACAATTCTATTATTCAATAAAAAACTTGTGCTAAGGGAGAAAGCCAGCTTTAATATACAATTTAATGAAAAATAACAACAAAAGTTTTCTTAGGGGTGATAGTTAACCGTTTGCAGCCAACCAGAGTAAGGATGTGCAACCGGTGGATTTGGTTTTGAAAAGAAGTGAGGAGACTTTTTGTGTATATAGTCAAGTAGTTCATATAACTAAACAGAAGATTTAACTAAGTACACAGTAGAGGATCTGCCACCTTTCTCTGGGCTTTCAGCTACACTGGCAGTTATTGACTAATCCAACACAGACATACTGTATTTGTTACATTAGCCACTGACTATTTTTAGTTCTTTCATTTTAGCAAGTCTTTTTAATGCACTTTCCCTTAATCTGGCTATTTTTTCATAACTACAGCAGTTTAGTGTAGTCCTCAGAAACTTGTGCAGGGTTTATGCTGATCCTGAATGACCCTTCAATTTAGTTCCACTCGCTCATGTCTTGATTTCTGCATAGTAAAAAATTGGGATAATTGCTAATTAAATAATATTTGCACAATATCTTGAGATTCAAACGTCAAAATTGAAAACAGTAAGGTATTTGTACTCAGCTGCTGGCTTTCTGTAAAATCAGCCTGTGGAAAATTCAAGCACTATGAGGCTTGATGACAAATGACCAGAATTCTCATCTAATTTACTTAGTCCTGTAGTAATTTAACTGATCTCAATGTGGTAAAGTAAATATGCATTGGTATAAGGAAAGTAGAATAAGGCCCTCTGTTGTTTCTGCCATGGGAATCTGCTAAGCTATATGGTCTACCATTAAGAATAAGAATTTCCACATCTGTCATTGCACAAAATATACGTCATAATACTCTACCTTGAGATCCAAATGAAGAATGTACATTTGGTGCATGTACTGAATTCCCTTGCAGATCTGTTTTATGAATGAGATACTATCCGTCTCTGTCAAATTGTAGTTTTCATCAATAATTCGGTCAAATAACTCTCCTCCTTCCACACTGAGGAGAGAAAGACAATAAAGCAGTGACCAAGCCCAAATCCAATCCCATGCAGTTAGATTAATACAGAATTTACACTACTGACTATTTTCATCATTGACAGTCAAGTGCAGTAAGATGGGTCTACAATATAAGCTTGTACCTTGATCTGAATTTTCCCAAATCTGGGTTCTTAAATTTAAGGCAATTATTTTGTGCCTGATTAGCCTTATAAACCAGCATAAAAATCAGGATTATCCTTTTAGGCACTGAGTATAAGGATTAGGCACAACACCTACATCTGGCTCCTCTTCGGTGTAAGATGTCTTCATTAGCCTCCCAGAATTGGAGATATTCTGAGAAGTTTGTTTCTTGGCTGACACAAAATAAAATTATAAACCAAAGAGAAGATATATAACACAGGTCTTTCTTGAAATGGAGCAGTGGCTTTACAGCACCAGTAATGTGGTACATCACTGGAAAAAATGCATAAATGGCTGATGGGAAAATTTTTCTCTTAAATTCCCTTTTTTTTTCCTGTTGTTCTTGAATACATATTTCACATGTTCTTTCCTGTAAGAAGGTCTATTTCTAATTTCAGGAGAAAGCAAGAAAGAAATTGACAATTCTAGCAAAAGTGGTAAAGACAGAAAGGGAAAGAAAACACACTTACTATTCCATGACAAGTACAATGTCATTTTTAGATTCAAAGGCATCATATAGTTGGATGAGGTTCACATGATTCAGCTGATTCATGACATTGATTTCGTTTTTAACTTCATCCTGTAAAGAGTCATAAGTATTGCTTCAGATGCCTTTTTTCTAAGAAAGCTACATGAAACAGGACATAGTTTGAAGCAAATGTACATTATCCTCATGTATTTGCTTGTGGCAACCAAACACAGGGCTTTCCTTTGATTGCTCCTGCAGTGGTAGATATCAAGGCTATAGGAGTTACTAGACTGAACTCAGAGCTTGAGTGGGGGACTGCTTCAGTAATAACTATTTGGTGGAAAAGGAAGAAGAGAGCCCACTTGGACAAGTGGTGGGTTCAAAGGGATGTAAAGAAAAAAGAGAGGCAGAAAATGGCTTGGTTCAAACAGCTGTAGGTGTACAAAATCAGGCTAAGAAAAGTCCAGGACAGTCCTCAAAATCTAACTTTGTAATCAGAGGAGAGAGAATGGTACCTCCATTCAGCCCAACTATTTTAGACGTGCAGTTTAGGATGGGATGAATCATCCTGTGATGGTGTCAGTCTCTCTCCATTGACTACAAAGGGATTCTTTCTGATCAGCTTGGCCACAGCTATACCTTAGCAACCTCAGTTAGCTGAGACAAATCCCACTCCTGAATACCATTAATGACACTGCTGTCACATAAAGGATGATATGCATCCTGACATGAGAAAGCAAGCCACAGATGGCCAGGAGGTTTGCAAAACAGGCCAGATTAATTCCTCTCATCTGTATTTGTGTTGATTTCAGGAGCACAGATCATGCCTGTTATCAGCATCTCCCACAGTGACATCAAGTCATTGCAGCAAAGGCTACCGTGCGTTTGGAGGCAATATGCTATGTCTCGGGCCTGACAAATGTTTTTACTATTAAAAAAAATGCTAATAGGATTAAGAGCAGAAAGAAAAAAAAAGAGTTAATAGAAGTTTTGAAGGAGAAGGGAAATAGCACTAGAGTCAATGCTAATCCAGCAGGTCCTATGAGTGTCATGGCTCGTGAGACACTTGGTCATGGTCTGTTGTGTTGCTGAAGAACAGGTTGGGATCCCTTTGGGAACAAAAGACTAATATCACACTCTACCAACCTTCTGTTTTGGACCTTTTGCTTTTATAATTTTGGCTGCTAGCTTGAGACCTGTTGCTTTCTCTTCACATTTGTGCACTTGCCCAAATCGCCCTCTAGAGAAAAGGAGGAGAAAAAAAAATCATCCAGTGGTACTGGTGTCAACTCTGAATGTAAACTGCAATATGAACAACATAAATTATCCTCTCCCTTCTGGATTGCATTTCAATTGCTCTATTGTTGCTATTTTGTTGTGTAGATTATACTTGCTACTATTTATTTAGGCACACCAAAAGTCACACACTGTTCTGTCTGGTATATCGCACTTATATGATTCACTATACTCACCTCATAACAAGCAATGACTAATCCCAGAGTAGTCAACATACTCTAAGGATAACGACTCATGCACAATCTGCCTCTCTCCATCGCATCATTCTCCTCCATGGGAGGGTTGTGATTCCATGAAGAACCAAAGCCTTACCCAAGAGCACGCTGCCATCAAAAATTACAATATCCCTCTATCCTAAACAATGTCAGCATGAGAGATCAAGGAATTACATGGCCTGCCAGATTAACCTGCTAATCTATCTGAAAATGCATGTGTTTTTGGGGATGAGACCCACTGAGAGAAAGAAGACTACAACATGTCTCTATGTTCTGCTGGCTGTAATGTGAGGTAAAGTATTACAGCATCTTAGGAGCCCTGTCATAAACCCTGAGGGCATCTTGCTGACCTAGAACAATATCAAACACAGGTCAAGTCTGCTGGTGCCAAATAGTTAGCCAAAATTCACTCACACTAAAATCAGCCTCCTCTTTTCATCCCTCTATAAAGACTTCCATGACTTTGGATCTAGTGGGGCATGTTGCCTCCATTCACCTCGCAAGCTGCTTGGTTGTAAATTTATGCCTTGCTTTCCAAGTTGATTTGCTTTGTCTGACTTACCCTCCCAGAATTTCATCCTCATTGACATTATAATAATTGTTGATCCCCACCCTTTTGGCTGAGACAATCCGGTGATCAAATGGTGCTGGTGGAGTAGGAATATCATCTACAAAAATAAAAACAGACAGATAGCATATGAGTGGTCACATGCAGTGCTTGTCTGTCTCATATTTTATTTCCTTTTTTGCCCAGATAAGTTCATTTAAGAACCGAATACACTTACTGTAACCTTTATAGATAAGTCTTTCTCTGTTATTTAAGAAGGGGTTTATTTCAGAAGCTCTGGCTCAGAAAAAAGGTTGTTGTTTGGGAGCTACACTAAGACAAGGACTCCTTTATTAAGTTATCATATTCTGCACAACAGTAGGACCACTAGGCTGTATCAGTGTAGCTTCGTGCCCACAAAGGGCCTCAGCAACTCACCGTTATCTCTGATTTTTTTAAATATTCTTTTCCTCCTCAGGTACTGTTAATAGGTGAGCATGTACTGTAACTCTCCAGTGGGGTAGGAAAAGAAACTGAACTCTCCTCCAGACCCAGCTTTTGCCATTCACAGTGAAGAATCCTCTTCTCTACTGATTGACACAACTTGTCTTTTTCTGCAGTGTGGTCATCACCTTTAAAAATCACTTTTAGAGTTTATGCACATGGGGAAGTTTTGCCCTAGCAGATAGCATTTAGGGTTTCCAGTATGGCTCCGGATCTGGTATGGTAGAACACATGGTAACTGACACACGGTGCTCTGAGGAATTTTTGTCCTTCAAAAAGGATGACAGATAAAAGGTAAGGAGGAGCACAGAGAAGGGATGTGTTCCTGACATCACACTGCAGCAGCTATGGAGTTTCAGCAAGTCTCTGGTGTTATTGTCTGGACCTCCACATGCTGGACCTTTCTGCCATCCTGATGTCAAAATCCCTGCTGGAGACCAGCCCTCCATGCCTAATTTGGACTTTTTGCAGGCTGTTGTGACTTCAATTTCATACCCACGTTGTTTTTCATTTGATTGATATTCCCAAGAGTGACCTTTGGCTGACCAAGGTGACAAATACTTCTTCAACTGTTTGGGAGGGCTACAGCCCCAGCGTTTCCACATGAGCTCTCTGGTTTGGAATGTCAGCTCCTTTTTGTGTGAGGCTTGTTGAGCAATTTTAAAACCATCCATTACTCCAGTGAAAAGGATCAAAAACACAAACAAAAAACCCCATGACAGCATGTAGCTGGCAGGAACACTTTGGTCATTAATGTAGCGGTAGATTGTCCTTATTCACAGTGAATGTCCATTTTTCCTGGACACCAGCTGTGTACCTAGATTTTTTTTTTGACAGTATTAATAACTTACATGGTCAGGAAGTTAGTTCATGGTCAAGGAATTGTGAAAAGCTGGGGCTTCTGGAAGTTTGCCACCTACTTGGGATTCTGCAGAGTTTGAATTGCACAACCATAAGTATGGGTCTTTGTGTCTTACCAAGACCCACAGAATGCCAAGAAAACCTCTACCCTAAGGCAGAATTTGACTCTAACAACACAAATTCCAAGGGCTCCAGAATGTAAGTGACAGAAGAAAATGTCTTTATAAAAGTTCAGCTCCAAACCACTACCCAACTTTGGGCAAGGAAATGTTCTTTTAAAGAGGTCAGTCTGCTTTTTAAAACTACGTAAGTTTTTGCCTTCAAGACATTCCTAGCGACAGAATTTCTATTTTTCTTTTCCTGAAAACCAGAGGGGATTTCTCCCTATTCAAGAATGACCTCCTATTACAGATCAAAGATGTTCCAGCAGAGACACTCTAACCTTAATGCCATCCCTAACAATTTGCCAGAGCTCAGGACAGTTTATAAATTTTAAAGTTTTAGTACACTATCTCCTGTTTCCTGCTACACAAACCTAGCACAAACATGTAACAAATGTTTCCCTTCCACACTTTCCCCCCATTTCCAAAGCAAAGAAATTCATTCTGAGTCCTATGCATGCACATGCACACACAAATAGCTTCAAATCTTTCAGGCCCCCTCCTCATGTGCCACAATTTCACATACAGGAATAGGGACTGAAATTCTCAAGCCAGAGATCTAATATTAGAAATCTCTGCCTCAGCATGGTGAGCATGCTTCAGAGTTCGGTGCCTGAGCACCATTTATCTGACTGTTCAACAGCATCACTCAGGCTTCCACACAAAAGTGTGTATTTCTTTATAGGTTGTAGTTGTTCTCACTTCACACTACAATGGTACAAATATAAGCAAGCTGGTTTTTCAGGTTACATCCAGAGCACTGCAGATTCCCTGCTAACACACAGTTTCAGCACTTCCACAGGTCAACCAATTTTGCCACGCATGATATAATTTCTCCCTCCACTTTATAGTTCGGAGTCTTAGCTCTTTTGTTAAAAGAAGAGGGAGAGAGGATAGTATTAGTGGAGTAGTTGTGGCAGAAGCAAATTAATTGTGTGTAATTTCTGACAGAACAGAACCCTCTAAGATTGAAGCAAGCAGAACTGGTCCATGAACAACTGTTTCCTGCCAGAGCTACCATGCACATCTTTTTCCCCTACCAATTACAATCACGAAATAATTCTCTTCTACAGATATCTCTCTCTGTTCATCACCTTAATACCCATGGAATTAAATGTTTTGCCTTTAAGATACTTCCTTTAGGAGCTTTTTATAGTTTTAAATATGTCATCAGCGCTTTCTGCAACTATCCTGCTCTTTTTGTTATCATCTTTGATTAGACCTTCATCATTCACTCAATGCTTACTGCTACCGCTATGCTCAAATTGGCAGGTCTGCTCAGTATTGAACTATAATTTCCTGTACCTTTTTCGCAGCTTTTACACCTGCAAGGACAAAACATGGCATTAGTGCAGGATACACTTAAAGCAGAGCAAATTTAGAAACACAGGTGAAAAATGCCTACACATACATTGCATTCAAATAACATTACGTTATTTTGTTTCATGGTGTAAAATAAACTGGTTTAATATTCACTCTGAGAAATAAAAATGGCCCCTAAATTAATCACGTCAGCAAAATATTTCTCAATTACTGAAATTCTCACCTGAGATCTTCTAAACTTAACATTTGGCTGTCAATCTCACCTTTAAAACAAGGGGAGAGTATTGGAATTTAACTATGTTCATATAGGTTCCTGAGAGCTTAAACCTGTTTATCCCTGAAGGGCTACATACAATGTAGCAAAGAAAGAATTACAGTAAATAAATTTATCAGTTTAATTGTCTGGGCCAAGTTTCAAGTTTGACACTGGTATATTATCCCTTAAGTTACTACATTTTGCAGTAAGTTAATTCCCAGTTGGCAATGGCCTAATTCCCAGTGGTCTAATCTAACCTTATTTTGCTCATATGTTATAAGACACTGCAGTATATAAACTGAAAAATGGGAGCATTCTCCTCAGAGATAAAGAATAGAGTAACATAATACCCATGTTCTTAATATTACCCAAGCAAACAACCAAAGCACACTGCTAATTCCATGTATGGAATGGATTGTTTGACTGTCTGTTTTAAGAGTATAATTTCACTCAGAGAGATAAACATATTTTTCACTTCTGCACTGGGCTAAATTTTCAACAATATTTATATTAACCAGCCACTTTGACTTGAAACTTGAATGACACATTTTTCTAAAGCATGAGTCTCTTAAGAATGTGCAGTATAAGCTTCAGGCCTTACCTTCCCTCTGGTATCTCTTGATCATGGCTTTGTTCTGCCTCATCTTCCTTTTGGGAAGGAGCTGGTGGTTCCTCAACACTTTTTTCACTCTTATCAGCATTTCCCACCTCTTCATTCTCCCTCTCCTCTTGTTGTTCATCTCCAGGCACCTGATGTTCCTCCTTCCTCTCCTCATCTGTTGGAGGCTCACTCTCTATCTCTTGCACAGTTAGCCTTTGACAAGCATCATCAACAGCATCTTTTTCCTGCTGTTTTGCTGGAGCAAATGACTCCTGAACAGAGTTTCTCCTATATTCTTCTATATTCTGTTCTTCCTGAACAGAGTTTCTCCTATATTCTTCTATATTCTGTTCTTCCTGAACAGANTGTTCTTCCTGAACAGAGTTTCTCCTATATTCTTCTATATTCTGTTCTTCCTGAACAGAGTTTCTCCTATATTCTTCTATATTCTGTTCTTCCTGGACAGAGTTTCTCCTATATTCTTCTATACTCTGTTCTTCCTGAACAGAGTTTCTCCTATGTTCGTAATAACTTTCGAAAGCCAAACTTTCTTCTTCCTTCTCTGATCCTTCAGTATGAAATCTGGGAGGATCCACTTCAAGCAGAACAGAACTTTCCCTCTTGGCATTTTCCTCATTGAGCTTATCAACTTCTTCTTCAGAGCAGGACTGGCTCTCTTGGATGGCCCCCTCTGTAAGTGAAGAGATTACAAAGGAATCTGTCAGTGGTTTTCTGATAGTCAGTAACAACATTAAAGTAGGGCTGCACACTTAGCATAAATTTAGTTGCATTTGGAACTAGGCATTTGCTTTTCTCTTCCACTGTCGAGGTCAGTTCAAGTGCCTCCTAAGCAAGAGCAGACTACTTATTCAAAACAGAGATGTCATGGGTCACAAATGCTTCCTTTGACACACAGCACTAGAAAATGTTTTTGTCACTCAAAATTATTGTCAGCCAAGTCAAGGTTAATGAACTCAAGAAAGGTAAAGCACTTTTTTGAGCTTGAGTTTGAGACCCTGTGCACAGGCATGTGAAAAGTTGATTGATGTCGCTTCAACAATTTTCACTCATGCTGTTGAGCACACATGTAACTCAAACAACTTCACTGGAGCTGCTCAGGAACATAACGGCTAGTTTTGTGCTATTTCTTAGGAACTAGAATCCAATCAGAGAAAAAATAGTCCAACCTGTTGAATCTGGTGGCTTCTTTTCTTTTGTTTCTGTTTCATTCAAATGTAACTTTTCTTTGATGACCTGTGGAAAAGGCAATTGATATATTACTCAATGTATACAGTTTACATATGGTATTGGTCCTCATGAAATTGCAACCTGATTTTTTTGGGTCAAATACAAATACTCTGAGTTGTAATTCACACATTTCCTATAAATGACGGTCCTTATTATAATCACTACCAAGCTGATTGAATTGGTACCAGTGTAAAGCAAGAGAAATTATCTCAGTTGTGATCAGCATCAGTGTTGGCATAAAAACAGCCCAGAAAAAATCAGGACTGAACCTCAGAGACTAAAAGAAAGAAACATCCTGAAATGAGCTGTTGCCCTGCAGTAGCTTTTGCTGTTAAAATCCAGGTTAAACCAAAGCTCGGAATATTTAATATTCTAGTAAAATCTTCGGTAACAGTCTTAATGACAGATATCAAAAAGTTTCTTGCTGTTAATCAACATCTGGTAACGACTTTTTTAATGATGCAACAATTTATTATGGGCTGACTGAGACAGTAACCAGGAATTGGAGCATACAAGACATAACTTCAGCTTTGTAGCCTTCTCTTACCTACACTTTACAATGTTGCAGTGACATCTAGAGGCGCTTCATACCAATTCAGGTCCTCTTAAAACCTCTGCTCTTTCAGTTACCTTTGTGGATATTTACTCCTATTCCTGTTGTGGATATTTACTCATATTCTTACGCTGTGTGCTGTTTCTTCACTTGCCACTCCCAGACTTGTTAGTAGGGTGGTGACCATGGTCTCTGCTGTCGCTTGGTGCTCCTTTTTCACCTGCCTTCTTCTTCCCACAGTACTATGAAACTGGCACTAACATTATCATTAATAGATCCACAAGGTGTGAAAAATGCAGATACCTCCAAATATTTTCAAGAGGAACTGCCAGCTACAGCAGTGTTATGTGTATCCCAACAAAATATACAGAGTCAGGAACTTAATTTTGAGTGTCTTAATCAAATGATTAGTCCCACAGCTTAGTCATATTGTACTCTGGGCATGAACCAGTTCTATTACTAAACATTTGTTCTGGTAAGCCCTCTGCACTTCTTATACTTTTTTTTTTATTTTATTTTAACGTCATCAGGCTATATAGAAAATAGGCATGAAATCAAAGCAATGTGTATCCACTATAAACAGAGTTCAAGGGAAAGGAAATTCCATGAGAAGCAAAAAAGAGTTGAGGAAAAACTGGATGTAACTGCATGAAGGATTTCAACAAAACTTTTTCAGAAAATCTTGATCTGCAAGGGACAAGGAAACTGTAATATGACCGTAAGATCTGAGACTGACAATTATTTGGGATGCAGTTGGTCCCAGGAGGTTGCAGGCCACAAAATGAAAAAGGCCTCAATACAACTAGGTAAGTACTCTTGAAATATAAATCAGAGCCTTGTTCCCACAGAACTTAAATGTAAATGTAATTATTCCAGATGGATCACAGGGAATCAACCAATGCTCATTTTGCTATTTTAATGGCGAAAGGCACCAAAAAAAAAGGGGGGGAAAACTCAGACTTATTTATTCTGCAATGTGACTGCAATTAGTAATGCACTCAGATTCCTGTAAGTACGTCAGTCTCACCAGATCACTGAGGACATCAGCTCTGATCAAACACAGTCAGCTGAGCAAATAATCAGAGAAATGGCCTCCAAGCCCTTTGATGCATAGGGCCAGATTTCACTTCTGCATTCAAAATTAATTGCAGACACACAGCGCTTCCTACTAAATTTTGCTGTAGTTTGCAGGTGTGAAATACAGAAGCCAGCTTTTGAAAATCTGTCAAGTAGAAGGAACACTGGATGGTGCTGAATACCTGAGACTGCCAGGGCATTACATGAAATACTATAATGTTTATTCAAGCACCACTTCTGATCTCTTACATTTTAACAGCAGACGAGGAGCTCATACTAATTTAAATGAGGGGGGAAAAAAAGAATACAAATGAAACATTTACTGGTATTCTTCAGAATCAATGTGCAATAAATGCAGGGGCAATAGCGCACTAGAATAAGAAATACAAATATAAGGACTAGATATCTGTAGACACATGAATAATTTAAACATGAACATCCAAGTCTTCTACATGTTTAGCTATTTGCAGTAACATGTGACTTCAACTTGTCAAATCTTGACCTGGCAATAAACCCAAGAAATTTTGCTCATTATTTCTCCCCTGTAAAGGGTAGGGGTTCACTGGGTTCTCTGGAGCTGACAGAAGTCAACTTATCCACGTATCCTCCCCATCCCAGCCACAGGAGGTACAAAGACCTCCTTGTAGTTCTCCTTGTAGTTTTTCAGGGACATGTGTGAAGTCCGATCCCAGGTAGCTGCTCTGAGAGCCCATTGGTCCCAAAAGCTTTGACACTCTTCTGAAAATCTCAGCTGAAAGGTCATGTGGTTTGTTAATTGCATCTACCCCACCTGAGTATACCTCGTACTACTCGTCTTCCCTCAGCAGTTCTTTCTTAAGGATCTTTTAAACTTTATCTCTAATAATATTTTATTTATTGATGTATTATTCTTCCTGAACTTTGGTGACATGTGACTATTTCCAGTCTGTATTTTCTAAAACTAAAGGAATTAATATTCCTTAGTGGAAAATATGCCTCCATGTTATTTTTTCTCCTTTCTTAATGACTTGAATATGCACAATTGGGTTAATGGTAGTGCAGTCATTTTTCCTATTCACACAAGCCAAAAGCTTTCAATTAATTTTTCATTTTCATTTCACAAAAGGTTAAATATAAAAGCTTGCATTGTGACCTTGTAATGTATACCAAAGCAAAAATGTGTCTGTATCTACACAATTTGTTACTGCATCTTCAAAAATACATTTTCCAGACTTAAACATAGTCTTTCATACAAAGTATTGCTAGAATCTAAGTAATAGAGATAGAATAAAAGCCCAGGTGATGATATAGAATAATGTGAGATAGCCCAGAAGCTGAAACTTCAGTGTAGACCAATGGAAAAAAATCCCTTTTGGAAATTATTTAAATTGACTTTAGAAACCTGCAGAAATTAAGCCATAAGCAATTATATGCACAAATATAATATATTCTAACAGAAATTTCAAATGCAGCAAGAAATTAATGTTTTATAGACATCTGACTCCTTTTTAATGAGCTCTACGTAGTTAAATTCTTTCTTTATACTGTAGCAGTCCTACCCTTGGAATGTTTTTTTAGCTAACTTTCAAATTTTTTTATTCACCTAATAAAACTCTTTGATTCTTTTTTTTTCCTACTGCAAAAATTTTTGTAATTAATGGCCTCATGAAGCAGTCTCAACCATTTAGTTAGACATCCTTTATCACCCATCCTTTATCACCCCATCACACTAAGGAAGCATGGGTTGTTTAGCCCGGAGAAGAGGAGAGACGGGAGACCCTATCACTCTCTACAACTACCTGAAAGGAGGCTGTAGTCAGGTGTGGGTTGGTCTCTTCTCCCAGGCAACCAGCTGTAGGACAAGATGGCACAGCCTTAAGATGTGCCAGGGGAGGTTTAGGTTAGACATTAGGAAGAAGTTCTTTACAGAGAGAGTGACTGGGCAATGGAATGGGCTGCCCAGGGAGGTGGTGGAGTTGCTGTCCCTGGAGGTGTTTAGGAAGAGATTGGATGTAGCACTTAGTGTCATGGCCTAGTTGACAACGTGGTGTTTGGTCAAAGGTTGGACTTGATGATCTCAGAGGTCTTTTCCAACCTAGTTGATTCTGTGATTTCATTTTATATCAATAAATTATTCTCAACTTCCACCTGCCACAAACCTTTGCATATGCCTAACCCACATTTTAACTCAGTGTCGCTTTTTCATATTCTTGATAGTTTGCAGGACTGTATTATGGCAAGATATCCTGGTTTCGTGTAAGGTCCAATCACCATTCATTTATCAAAATGATTAAGTTATGATTAAGTTTCTTGAGATTTGTAATTATTGAATTTCCCTAACAGCCAGAAGTCAGCCATGGGCTTTGCCACCTGAGCACTGTACTGTGAATGCTCCCAGCATCTCCTCATCAGTACACAGGAGAATTCATCACATACCACAGAGACCTTGGGGCAACCACATGCACGGTGATGCCTCCTGTGCTGTCTCTCAAAGCTGGAATTCATCCCCTCCTGCCCTTTTCTGTTCCCCTTCAATACACATTCCTTTTCCCCCCAGCAATGTAAAATATTCAGTGAAAGTATTTCTGATACAAACTTATAAATGCTAGAAAGCGTACACATGGGAATTCTGCTTTTACTGGCAGGCAGTACATCCATTTCCATGTCATTATTTTTTTGCTACACTACAACAACTGCTGGCACCTTCAGGCAAAGGTTTTGACTCTTCCATGATTTTTATAGAGCTCCTTGAAGTAGATAAATAAAGCATTCTTCTGTAAAAACCAGACTCAAACCACAAATATACTCTAATCACACAGACAAAATAAGCTCTGAGCCACGAGAATCATGATTCTCCCAATAGGAAATACAAGCGAATTTCTGTGTGACCTGCTGCCTTAAAAATACATTGGTAATGAAATAACAACGTCTGCTTGTGAAAAATCCCTCAGAACAACACCATCCTAGGGGAGAAGCTGCGGATCAGTGAAGCCAAAGCCTTGTCCATTCCCTACTTCAGTTTGCTGACTTCCCAGCTGCTGTGCTGGAGAAGCAATGCCTGTCCTGTTTCAAACAGATGCTTCCTCCTGACAAGCCATTCTTTTCAAAACAGGGGATCTTACACTGAAGAGTAGAAAAGGCTTTCATGCAACCAGGCTCCTGATAGAGCCCATGGCCTCAACGAAGACGCAATATATTGCACTAACAGTAACAGTTAGATTTTAAACATCTTTACTTTTGCCTTGAGGTCTAGTCACTGTCATTTAACAGAGGCAGTATTAAGCACAAGAAGAGCTTTGGAGGTAGATTTTTAACTCCAATTGATTGGTATAATTGCAATGTCTCTGGAATACACAAAGGCCTATAATAACCACCAACAAATCTGAGGCTACCAATA